TTTAAGTCCTCGATTCTTCTTAAAACCAGGAGTTGGAAGTATTTTCTAGAACAACATCATTTAAGTCCGTCTTTCAATAATAATATAGTTTGCTTCTATTGAGAAGATTTAAAAGAAGATGAAATGAATTTAAAAGTTTGTGATTATAAGAATTAACTGAGATATTAAGGTGATATATATCTTCACATAAATAATCAATAATGTCATTTCATGCCCAACGTCGAATTAACGACCCAGTTAATTCGACGTTGGGCATGAAATACTTCAACTAATTTGAAAAAACAGAGTTTTCTTCTTTTCCTGTCTTACAGGTCTTCCTGGTCTAACAGGCCTGTTAGACCAGGGATGAACCTTCAGAAAATGGTAAACAGTGAAAAAAAAAATAGTGTGATGAAAAAATATCTTTTCCAATGAATAGAAAATTATCTTTTCCAATGGGGTTCCATTGGAAAAGATAATTTTTATTTTAAATATTAATTATTACAGCTTATTTTGACTTAATATCGAAAAAGCATCCTAATTTTCAATCGAAAATTCTCCCACCAATATATCTGCTTTTTTTTAAAAGTCGTGAATCATTTTTAGAGACAATTTGTCAAGAAAAATCAGTTGACAAAATTTGTACGCATCCGAGCGAAGCCGCGAGAAAAAAATTTAGATGATCATAACATAAAAATTTGGCCTAGTTACAAAACCTAAAAGCATTCAAGATTTACTAAATTACCTTTACAGATATCAATATCTTACTTTAAGAGAGACCTTTTCCGTCTAAGTCCAACACAAAGAAGAACTTAGTCCCATATGAACTAACCAAACCATTACCTAACTTTTTAGTGTCATTGCTGTGATCTCAGCTCCTGGTCAATCGCGTGCCTTCGTCTAAAACTTTAAGTACTCGGAACTTTAGAGAAATTTACATTTTCAATGCGAAATTATGTCCCTCGATGTCCCGGAATAAACGGCAGAGGCACTTATGCAAAAATAACCAACCACTTATCACTTGTAGCGTTATTAGCAAGCGCTTTACTGATTGACTTGAAAAACAGTTGGAGGAAGTTCTTACCGCTTCAAGCGCTAAATTAATTGAAGTTTCATCTGCAAGTACGACTTTGAATGTACTATCTGGAATAGTTCTTGCAAGTACTTGTAACTTAATAAGTCTAGATATTGTTATTTGCGATATTTTTATGTGAACAGTTTACTGTACAATTTTATGGATACTTAATCATGTCTACGCTAGATAATCATAATAAGTGTTTTACTCTCTCTCTATCTCTTTCTTAAGCTTGTCACGACCCTTCAGGTGTTGGCCTCCTTCAAAGTACGTCACTAATCGCGATCTTGTGCGATCTGGAGCCACTTTCTTCCTGCTGACCTCTTAATATTGTCATCCTAACGCATCTGTGGTCTTCTCGGCGAACGTTTTTGATCCCATGGTACTCGAGTAACCGCTTGCTCTAGGGAACGGGTCTTGCCTGCCATATGACCCACCCACTCCCACTTGTGCTCACTTGGACTCAAGTTTTTTTTATGTTAGAGGTGGCAGACGAGCAGACGGGTCACATGATGGAAAGTAACCATCGCCGCCCATGAACGTCTGCAACTCATGGAGTCATAAACGCGTTGTCGGTCTTTTAGGGAGGAGTAAGCTCTTTTCTTGAAGGTCGAATCGGTCCGGAAATACCGCAGACTAAAGAAATTTAAAAAAAAAGTGTTTCCCTCATAACTCGGGTTTTAGAAAAATGTGATATAAATATCGATGGGTCCTACGGTTGAAAGCGGCACATCCGTCTTTTTACTACTTTTATCGCAATGGCTATCTGGCGAAATGTACCGTTTGTCTTTTTACAACGTACTATCTGTGAGATAGGGAATAAAGGTGTAGGCGTTCCCACGATCATTCATTGACGCCTCATCTTTACTTTGAGCGACGGTGATTTCATTAGCCATTCTACAAGATTAAAACTAAATTTTATGTGTAAAATCTTCTACTGTCAACTTTTATCCGTCTAGAGATATATATTAAAATGCAATGGACAGAAACAAACCAGTTCGTAACTACTTAAGAGCCCTAAAATATTAACGAAAGTGTTGAGATTGAGCCAGCTGTAAAAACACATTACATAGTTATTTTCCAATTTTGTCGTATGAACAAACTGAACAGTCACTTGAAATATGTAAATGAAAATTTTCTAAACGGTCTTAGTGCATTACTTTTGACCCACTTATTACTTGCTTATTACTTGCTTGTGTAGGCTATTAAAATATTATAATTAAATTGTAGATTTATATTGATAAAATAGTTTGTAAGTACTTCTTCGCTCGAGACACAGGTTCAACCTAGTTCGGGCAAACAAACTACATCTGTATTTCTATCATAAATTAGAGAGGCATTTATTTTAAATGATTGTATTCTTTATCTATTTGCCGTGTGGTGACGGATTAAGAATACAGAGTGTCACCACCCCTATTCATCCCGTGGGTGCAACAGCCCTGCAGAGAGAAGAAAAACTTGACACAAACCCTATACCAAGCCGTCTGGCCATCGTGGTATAGTAGGCCAAAACCTCCTTTCTAAGGAGAGGCTTATGTCCAGCAGTGGACTATTAAAGGCTATTGATGTGATTCTTTATCTAAATAAATGTTATTATAAATATTATTAATTAATGAAGTTATAACAGATATGTAAGTTGTAATAAATTTAGCTAAATGTTCGGTCGCTCTTTCTATTGACAATAATTATGAATTGAGAATTTGTAATGAAAATAATATATTGTAAGGAATGAAGGAATAGAGTGAAGTACGCCAATGGTGGTCTGTACCTAACTTCGCGGTGTGACGTCATTCGAATGAGACTATCGAATGACGAGTAGTATCGTGAAGATCGGTCACTTTTGCTCGGGACCTCGCGGTGTGCGGACTGGTGCATCTCTGTGTCGTGTATCACGTAACTATAATAGTTTACTTAGCCTTAATATTCCAATTATGTATTAGAGTTAAATAACCAGATAGTGTTTTCGTATTCTGTATAACATTAAATTGTTTTTTTAATCAAATAAATCTGTTTTTGCTTACAATATAATGTTTGTTTTAAACATACTGTGATGATAGCCACATACAACGACATATACAGTTTAATGCCATCTAACAAAGAGATGAAAGAAAGAGAACTACTCATAAATTACAATCCTAACTCGCGCTATGGAAATTAGTAGTACCACCGTAAATATATTTTGGCCGTAATAATAAGCCTAGTATTAAGTTTCCCTTATATTGTTAGTGCAGTGTAGTTCTTACATCCACGAATTAATAATTAATGAATTGTTTTTCATTCTTACTTACTTCTTCACAATTTTATAGCTTCACTAGGAACTTATGTAGAGGGAGATGGATGCTAGATGAACTAAAAAGGGTACAAAAAAAAATTTAGAATAAAATTCTTATATTCCTGCCAAGTCATGTGTTTGTTTGATAAATTCTTCTTTTTCCGCATATAGTGCAAATGCAGACTTTATGTGAACTCATTAAGATTTGCGAGCGCTAAATTCATTTTAAATGTAGTTATGTTCCTAGCTGGAAATCAAGATATCGGTTTTAGAGAAAAAGAGATGACAAGTCATGAAAAGAAACCCTGTTAAAAATCCAATTAAATGCTCATCATAGGAAAAAAGCAAACTACAACAAATACTCATTATTACTATTCACCCTTACTACATATTCTAATTATACAACCATGGCCTCCCACAGGGTGAGAAACAAATGACTTTGTTTACTCGCCCTGGCACCCAATCTGGATCCTTTCGGATTAATAGCCTATTACTTAGAGAACCAAAGTAATAGGGCAGTTGTGGTACAAACTATTTTCTGACGCTTTTGTTGTTTTGCGTTGATAGTGTTGTCTAAAATAGTACAATTAGAGTGCAATTTTCCTAAACACCTTCCCACAAGTCAAAAAGACTGCACGGTACAAAAAGAGACATAGAGAAATGGAGTTACTTAATCCCTTCTATGCAAAGCTTAAACCGTACTCAATAGAAGAAACAACAATGTAAATAAACTTAAATATAAGTAAGAAACAGCTTCCTCCTTCCTAAAAGCCGGCAACGTGCTTGTGACTCCTGAGGTGTAGGCGTTCATGGGCGGCGGTAGTCGCTTTCCATCAGAAGACCCGTCTGCTCGTTTGCCTCCTCTTCCTCAAAAAGAAAACCAGGGTCCATTTTTATACTATTGAATACTAAGCTACATTTTGATAAGACGCCCAACTTTGGCGTCTCATTAAATGAAGCTACTCACAGTAAATTAGCTTGATGGTAATCAATTGTAAAAATGAACTCTGGATCCTCCTTTTTTTTTCCACCATCCATATCCATGGTATCCATAGGATACCGCCTATCGGTGGCATGTCGGACTCGAACCGACTAAAACCGCACGCCATCTCGGGCACTAATAGCCGGGGAACCAGGTATACCCTAGAAAGGAAGTCCCTGGTACCCCGACATACCTCGGGCCATCTACAACAACAGGTTGACAACCCCACCCGTGTGGGAACCCCATGTGGGAACCCCATCTGCTCAGAATAAAACAAATGAAAAAAAACAGATCAGAAATGTTGGCTCTCATTGTACTGAGTTTTTGAAATAGCTTATGAATCTAAAACAATTGAATCCCAAGAACTTTTGCATTTCACATCAGTCACTATTCAGTAAAAAATCCTTACTATAGCTTGTCGTTTCAATTTTGAACCTAAGTTTGTTTACGTTTAACTGTAATCTATAATCCATACTTCTAAACATTGCATGCCTTCGTCAGTTCAATAAAGCCACATGTAGGCGTCTCTCACCTATTCTCTTGGGTGCTCAAGATGCCTTAAAATTTATGTTAATGCCATTCTGTCATAAAAAATGTCAAATCCCTTTCAAAAGCCTGACTGGGCCCTTGATTCTTACATTGAACTCGTTCCATGTAAAACAGTAACAAATTTAACTATGTAAAATTTAAATTTATTCTCTAGGCACAAATTTAATTTTCATGTTATCATCTAAGGGCAATAAGAACAACCCTTTGCGCTCCACTTGAACGTCGTTGAGTTTAGGTGTATTCGGTAGCGTTTCTAACTTGAACGTTAGAACTATTGATGCAATGGCTTGCTTTATTGATTGATAGGCGAACCGCATACCTGAAAAATAACGTATTTTTATAATATTATAAAAAAAAAATTATACAATTTAAGGGAAGCCCATAGGCTAGTCCGTGTAGTGACGGATTAAGAATACGGAATGTCACTACCCCAATTCATCCCGTGGGTGTCGTAAGAGCCGACTAAGGGCGCAAAACAACGCAGGACACCAGCGCTGCAAAAAGACGGAAAACTTGACACAAACCCTATACCAACCCGCCTGGCCAGCGTGGTATAGTAGGCCAAAACCTTCTTTTTAAGGAGAGGCCTATGTCCAGCAGTGGACTATTAAAGGCTGTTGATGTGATAGGCTTAGTTTCTATAACGTTGACATTGAAAAAAAAATGAAGAGTAAGATAGCAAAGCATTTCAAAATGTTCATCCAAATCACTTGGATAATTGGCACTCCACTACTGTTCGCTTTTAAAGACACTTTTTGCCTCGCACAACCAATCTTTGGAACAAGTTATCGTCTGCGGTATTTCGGGACCGATACGATCTGCATTCACACGTACAGGAAAACAGCGTTATCCTTCCTAAAAGGCCGGCAACGCGCTTGTGACTCCATAAGCGGCGGTAGTCACTTTCCTAGAGGTGGCCCGTCTGCTCGTTTACCTCCCCTTCCATTAAAAGAAGAAACCATTATAATTAAACATAGAACAGCTCTCCAAAATATAGTATTTGGCATGTCATGAGTTGATATTACCAAGCACATGATTCTGATGTACAATAACATAAATAAATTTATTCGCTTCCAAAAATTAAATCCAAACAATTATCTAAATCTGTGATATTTTAAGTTAATTTTAATAATAATAATAATATTTTACCACATTCACACATCGCCATCTAGTCCCAAACTAAGCAGAGCTTGTACTATGGGTATTAGACAACTGATATAAATACATATATACATTTTTTTTATTTATACATACATATTATACATAGAAACACCCAGACCAAATCAAACATTAAATGTTCATGCACTAAAATGTTTGACTTGTGCGGGAATCGATCCCGCGACCTTTGAAATAGCAGTCCGTTACACAAACCACTACGTCATCCGGTTGCCAATTAATTTTCTCACAATAAAGAGAGCACTATTCGTAGATATAGAATAATAGACATTTTTCAATATAATTTTCTAGCGGATAATAATAGTTGAAAACTGTCACCATATGTACAAGTAATTAAGCTTAAGTTTTGGGGAAAGTCGAAAATTAGAAAAAAAAACATCATCCTCACCTATGCACATTCTGGGCCCATCGCCGAAAGGCAAAAAAGTAAAAGGCGTTATATTTTTCTCATTCTCTGGTAAAAACCTGTCAGGGTTAAATACCATAGGGTTAGGAAAGTACTGAGGGTCCATATGTATGGCTACGGCATTTATGTAGACTGGTGTACCAGCAGTAATAGTCAGTTTTTCATCAATCCTGTAATCTTCTGCAGCTTCACGATCCATCCAGCCTATTGGTGGAAAGATTCTGAGGGTTTCTAAAGAAAAGAACACAATTATATTAAAATTTATACAAAATAGCCAGTCTTAAAGTGGTCGCATATAATGTGAAACATCCTATATCACACCTTCTATCTGATATCTGACCGTAGAACCGCGTGTTCTTATTAATAAAATCAAGTAGCACGCGTTTCCTTGACTTCCCGTTACATATTTCCGTCCCCTTTCACGAAATGTCTGCGATGTCCACTGCTAGACATAGTCTTCCAACAGGTTCTCCACAACAGCCGTGCCTTTGCTGCCCTCATCCAAGGGTATCTCGCGTCTTTCATCAGGTCGTTGGACCACTTTGCGGGGAGAATACCCACGCTGTGTCTTCCGTTCACGAAATTACTCCCACAGATTGCAGAAAAGGTCAAAAGTACCTTATTATAATTTATATAAATAAATATATACAATACCTTTAATGACACAGTTGAGGTAAATGAGCTCTGTTAGGATGCTTACGTCTAAATCTTGAACATCGTGAGATTTTTTCACAGCGACGATTTCTTCGTACAGTTTTTCCTTAAAAATACAAACACTAATTTTATTACAAATTATTACAGTTATTAAACGCATGAAATAAATACTGAAAATATATAAAATAGATTAAAATAATTATTTGCAAAATAACAAATGTCTTACTATTGTTAAATGGTTCGATTGTATGAAATGTGGAGGACAGCGCCATCTAGTAACGACTAAAGGACATCCATTAAGATCGTGGTTAATACGAGTAGTTCTCCTGAGTCTGGAAAATTCTTGTTGGTTTGGAACGGATGGTATCGAATACCAGAGATTCAAAAGCGCTATAAAAGCGGAGCGTGTTGGCCATTAGACACAGTTTCGTTTTACGACACAGTGAATTAACATCGGAGTGAATTTCTAGTGCGACTAACAATATAGGGATTCCTAGTAGTAAGTTTTTGTAAATAAAGTAATTAACCGACAACTTTTATTATTTACATATATACCCAGCTCGTAACACTATTCAACAATACTAGTGTATAGACATTTCGCTGTGCTTACCTGGCAGTGAGGGTTCCAGGCTAGTGCGTAAAGAATCCAGCTCATTACAGCAGCAGATGTTTCGAAGCCTCCAAAGAAAAATATGGATGCTTGAGCAAGTAGAAAATCTTCACTTATTTCTAAAAGGATAAAAAGTCGTTGTTTTAAATGGTTTGTACAGAAAAAAAACTAAAACAAAGATTCTATGACTTAACAGTATCAGCCCGGATCTAACGATGATGTGGACTTACCACAAGATGATTAGGGTTTTTTGGAAGAAATTTAGTAAACATTTTTTAAAGATATTGAAAATTACGTGAAAAACCGTGAGGTAACGGATTAAGAATACAAAGTGTCACCACCCCTATTCATCCCGTGGGTGTCGTAAAAGGCGACTAAGGGAGCAATCTACGCAGGACAATAGCACTGTAGAGAGAAGGAAAACTTGACACAACCCAATACCAACCCGTCTGGTCAGTGTGGTGTAGTAGGCCAAAACCTCCTTTCTAAGCAGAGGCCTATATCCAGCAGTGGACTAGTAAAGGCTGTGAATGATTGATGATGATGACTGAAATTCTGAGAACTAAGAACTGATATTTCATTAAATTAATAAGAGAAACATTCTCCTGTAAAGCTGTGGTGAACTACTAATCAAAATAATTTAGAAGTAGATAGATTCCGTACGGTACGCCAGCGTCTAAGATAGCTACAATACTGTGGCTGGTATATAAATACATTTATAATGTTTATATATTAAAGACAGGATTATTTTACCTTCTCCATCCTCTGCAGCTTCTTGTTTCATTTTCAGTAAGCAATCCAAGAGATCTTTGGGCTCATTAATCTTTTTCTGGAATCCTCCTCTCTTCTCAATGATGGATCCAAAAATAGTTCGCAACCGCCGTATTGTATATTTAGGAAATAATGAGAATCTGTTGATTGAAATATGTCTTAGAGTTTGTGAATATTAATAAATATATAAATAAACAAAAATAATTTACACCATGTTCGCTTATAAGAGGTACCTATGCAAATTTTCATTTAAGATAAGTGGGTTGTATAATTTCCAAGTAACGAGAATTGTAACATTGATTGGAACTATTGCAATACGTTGTATAGAGATATTCCAATTTTTATTTAAACTCTTTTTTATGATATAAGGGGGCAAACGAGCAGACGGGTTAGGGGTCAGGTCAGGTTACCATCAGGTAAGCAACTACTGCCACCCATGTACACTCGCAACTCAAAAGTCACAAGTGCGTTTCTACCCTTGGAATCCCTCCCGCTCAAGATAAATTTTAATAATTAATCTGTGTAAAGGTAGTTGTGGACATTCTGCCTAAAATTTTGGTACCGTAGCCATGTAACTAACGATTTAAATTTACCTGAATACATCAACGAGTTCTGGGCAAAAGAAAATGCTCGACCAGCTCAATCCCCTGTGAATATTAAAATCCATGAACTCCCTGGCAATCCCTCTCATAAGACTATCACCAGTCTTAGCTGAGTCGCTGATGATACCAAATGCAGACTCTCCAATAACATCCGTGGTATAATTTGCAGAAACAGTCTGCAGAAAAAATAAGAAAACATTAAATGTTATTTTGATCGTTGACTTTCCAATTATAATTTGTATGTGAATAGAGAAAGAGAAAAATAAAAAAAAATAGTAAAAAAAAACTAAAAATCACGCTTTTTATAGAAAACCATACTAAAAAATAGAAAATAAATTTTAATAAATTTTAAAAAAAAGCGTTGAGTGCCTGTTGTCAATAGTAATATATAATTTATTATTTTTATTATATTATATATGTATATTATTTATATTCTATTATTATTTTAAATTAGTGTATTGTCATCGGTCCTCGATATATCTACAAAGTTTGAACGAATTCTGACCGTTTAAAGTCAGTCAAAATCATGCCCAAAGGAGTCGGTTACAAACAAACATACAAGTGAAGCTAATATAAAGCGTGTAAAAAATGAGATAAAGATATCGTATTCAATTTACGGCTTTCGTCTATTTATTTATTTATTTATTTATTAATAAGTACTACCACATCATACATATTATACTTATAACTAGTTTTGACAATACGTGGCATTATACCTGATATGTATGACAATTAAGGTGTACATAGCATTTACTGTAATGTAGTAGTGTAAAAAGTAGTAAACTAATTACAATCAAACGAGAAAAAAAAAACTAACTAATGAAGAGGATACTTAATAATAATAATAAACTGTTTGAATTAATACTACTCTAAATCTATTTTATATCTTATTCACATTTGTTTGGGGTTTAGGTAGACGGACACAAAACATTTGTTATTTTAGTTTTAAATTCATTATACGATTGGCGAAAGATGTCAATGTCAGGATCACGTGTTTGGATACTATTATATTGGTTAAGGACTCTATTTATTGGTGAATTTTGGCCTAAATTAGTTCTTGAAAATTGTGTGTGGAATATTTTAGTTATTCTATGTCTGGGATAAGAGTGAGGAACCTTCACTGATATTTTTTCTAATAAATAATTGTACTGTATATTATTATTAATTAATTTATGAAGAAAACAAAGGTCAAAAATGCGTCTGCGATTAAATAAAGTAAGATATGTTAGAAATTCAGGCCAACATGATTGTTGATGAAGAATATTACAGTCATCGACGCCATATTTAGACAGTAAAGCACTTCTATGTTTGTCTACTTGTAACTTCCTGAAAAATAACTGTTACTGACCCTTAGATTAAAATAAATATTCTTAGCTGATAGTTCCCGGATACGCTGTACCAAGTTGTTACTTTTAATTTGTGTAATGTTGTAGTGTTGTTTCAATTTGGCGGCTGAAAATACAGGTGTAAGGCGACGCCTTAAAGTAGACCACGCAGTGTCCTAAAATGAAAAGAATAATGATTTGAGAACTGAAAGTCTGGCTAAGGACTGGCTACAAAGGGTTCATAAAAGGGACTTACAGAAAACCGAAATAAATCAAGTCTTTCGTGGCTCTTCATCCAGTAAATGATGTACCTATGTAACTTTATTTACTTTATCGGACAAACTCCACCCCTACTCCTTATACTCCCCTCAATAAGGTAATTTGGAATCATTATTTTTCTTCGTTAAATATTTTTTTGGTATAAAATTTATGAGGCAACAGCTCCAAAATCAGCCCGTGTGTAAATTAAAATCACTATAAAAAAATATCATTTAGATTTGTATTTCATTCAGTTTTAGAATAAGTATAAACTAATCTATTTAGTTCATTGAACCTGTTGTCGGACTTGTTTACCTTGGTTTCTCTATTACTAGAATTATTATTATATTATTCACATTTTGAAACTGTATGTTTTGCTTAGTAAAATAAATAAAGTGTTTTTTTTTTAAGGAAAATAGGCTTACAACTGATATCTGATTGAATCTTCGCTTTCGGTTTTAACCACCATCAGTGATGAATAAAATCACCTGCCAAAGCGACGACTTCTACCATAACTGGCCCAGCTTTTGCTGAAATCGAAAGTTTTAAGGAACAAGCTGTATGCTTGTTCCTTAAAACTTGCTTGCTCTAATACGACTTACAACTCACGATGCGGACGAGGCATTAGTCATATTTTATTTAACAGATTTCTTCTTTTTACATTTACAGGTAAAAAAGAAATATTGTTTATTTTTGTTGTAAATATTTTAAGTATTTACATCATATTTATCACACATCATCAGCCTTTAATACTCCGCTGCTAGCCATAGGCCTCTCCTTGGAAAGGAAAGGTTTCGGCCTACTTTACCGCGCTAGCCAGACGGGATGGTATAGCGTTTGTGTCCTTCTGTACATATAAGCATCAAAAAATTTATCGGTACCATCGCCTACTGGTAGCGTTCTCAGAAGACTGGCAGCATAGCCATATTGAATAGCAATGATAATTCTTTGTGCAAGAAAAAGGCCGGTCTTCTGATCACTAGAAGTGGCGATCAGTTGCTTAGCTAGTTGTTTATACATAGCACGAGCAATCGAACCCCATGACCCTAGCGTCAAAAATGTAATTTCCTACTAAATGTTGGTATTTCGCCATTTGAGGGTTTCTGCGGATGCAGCAGCAGTCCCGTCATAACCAGAAAGTTGCGTGCCTCACCAAAGGCTTACCCATCTTCCATAGCATCAATAACATACCGTCCGGTCTCTTCCCATCGTCTCGTACCAGTCCATTGGGTTCACGCACAGCTGGAACGCCAGCGGTAACAAGAGCACGACGGATGATTTCGTTAAAAATATATAAGCACTTCTGCTACAAGAAAGACCATGACATCCAAGACTGTCAACAGCTTCCCCGCAGTGACAAAGATGCGGAGAAACACAAGGCGCACTTAAGACAAGGCGAAATGTAATATTGTCCAACAAAGTGCCTATGTTCGGCGATTGAAGTGCCTGAACCCATAAGCCTGATTCCTATTCTCCCACAGCCAACAAACTGGTTACTGGTTTTTAATATATTAGTTTCAATGTCCGGCTGGTGTAGCTTATCTGTTGGTGTAGCTTTCCTGGACTATCTGCGTTGGCCTTTTTATTGATTTTGGAAATGGTTATGTGCGCTTTGTGCTATTCAAAGACCCTACATATTTACATAGATAAATTCATTATCATCATCATCATCAGCCTATCGCAGTCCACTGTTGGACTTAGGCCTCTCCCATTGCTTTGTATGACGGCATACTTGGGCAGATGACCTCACTAATCATCCCAATTTACATGTTTCTAGATTTTATTTTAAACAATTAATCGATACAATTGTATAACATCGATAACATGCATTCGATTTTTTTAACATTTATGGTACTTTATTATAAAAGTATTTTAAGATGTTTAAAAAATTCTTACTTTTAAAACAACCATATTCATATGTCCAACGGCATCCGTCTTTCCAGAGCTCATAAATCTGTTTCTAAAGTTATCAAAATCCTTTATTAAGATCTTTTTACATAATTCGGGGCTGTTGATCAACAATGCTGGCCGCCAAAAGAACCACATACCTACATAAGGAGCTTTGAAGTCGATGTATGCTTGGCGCATCCAATATGCCTGGAAATAACAAAAAGATGTTTAAGTTTTCAGAAACTTGGAAGGAAAATTGCAATGCAATTTTCTCTAAAAAGCAAGTAATATTGTTACATAACGTTCTCTCTCATTTCTTATTTCAGAGGTCCTTTTCATCAAATACTGACGAATGCTATCGCTAGAAGTTCATGCTTCTAAGGCAAGGACTCAATTTTGTGTCAAAATGTGTGCTTATTAACAAATGTCATGATTCTAGATGAATTCAAAGTATCCGATACGACGACTAAGACGAACGAACGAAGTCGCGGGTACCAGCTAGTTATAGATATACAAGATGCCTAATACTAAACTCCATGTAGAAGAACACAAGTCATAGGTTGCAGTCGCGCTTCGAGGAGGGGAGGGGTTATTTTATTTTGGTACCGCAACCCTTTTTGGTACAATAGCCCTAATATTTTATCTCTTCTAAATATTCATCTAGAGATAGCCCAAAACTTCTCAAGTATTATCGCCTGATTTGCCAATAAAAATAGAAGACTTCCATTTGTTTTATAATGTGTGTAATAAAATTTTGTATTGTGTAGATAATACTGTGATTTATTGTAATTTATTCGACATATTTTATAATTAGTCGACCTGTATCTCATACTTGTAAATCAACAAAGATAATTGTATTTTTTCTAGGGTCATGACTTCTTACGACATAACGATAATAAAATTTAAAGACATCTAGCAATTTATCAATGAAAAATGAAGTGCCATGTATAAATAAAATACGGGGAAGTAACGGAATATTTCAAAGTCACACACAAACTTTGACAAGAAAAACTTAAGACTAATTAATATAAATAATATGATATGACAATTAATAAAAAAGAAATGACAGTAAATAAAAGGAAGAACTCTTTTCAACAATAAACTCAAGTGAAAAGTAACAAAACTATTGTAAAAATAGACGGTATATAAAATAAAACATCTTACCAATATTATTATTATTATCAATGTAAAATCTGTCATTCGTGTCCAGATCAGCCTTGAATTCAACCATTCTTTTTATGTTTGAAGAGACAGGTAAATTATTATGGGTAATAAATAGTACCTGCGAAGGAAATGGCGGAGCGTGACCGGGAGAGGTTTAGAACTGTCCCGGAATGGTCATAAGCGCAGGCCTAGGGGTGGCAGGTCAGGCCATCTGTCACCCTAGCCGAAGCAGGCCTGTTTCAAGACGCGCTGCGGAGGAGTGCACACAGGAGGGTGTCATCTACCGTAGATGGCGTATGGTATGTCGGGGTGCCAGGGATTTCTTTTCCAGGGTAAACCTGGTTCCCCGGCATCTGCTACCCGAGACGGCGTGCGATTATTGGTCGGTTCGAGTCCGACATAACCACCCGACGACCGCCGGAGTGATTATGTTATACCGAATTTCCGCACATAAAAAAAAGGTAATAAATTACAGATAAAAAATATTCAAAAATATACTTACGGGATTTTGCTTTAACAAAAAAGTTAAACTTCCCATGATCGGATGTGGGGAATAATGGGGTACCCCCTTTTCCTTCCAATACCTCTTTACCTTGTTCCATCTTATATATAACCATAAGAGTAGAAATAATATCACCACGGCAAGAAATATGAAAAACATTTTACAATTAAATTATCATCGAACTATTAGTACATTTCTAATTTCAGAAGTAATTAAAGTAACTGTATATTTTATGAAATTAAATAAACAAATTTCGTGTAAAATACTGCCACTGAATGTATTCTGATAAGCACTGATATTATTATCTAAAATTAATAAGTAGTGGTGATGACAGCGGCTCTTCTTGCGTAAGATTCTAAAGTGAAGCTTGGGAGGTTTTTCAATAATTCTTATCTAATTATATTATACGATCCGCCAAGGCTCCGCACGGTGCAATATATAAATAATTTGGTGTCAGTATGGAGTAAATAATTATACTATTATTATGATAGGACTGTACTACAGGACATCTTTAAATGCAATATTTATAGGCCCACTCTGATCCTGCCACCCGGGACAGACGTACGGCCCGACGGTCGTTGGGCCCCGCATTTTAAATCTTTAATATCTTCTAAAATATTCATTTTAATGATATGCTGTAAAGAGCAATTTTAATCTACATTAAATGCACAACGTATCTAACGTATTTAATTGGATAAGGAATAATATTGTATAGTTTAAAATAGCTTCGTAAATCACCGATTGTTTTTTGTAATATTTATAAGATACATATGATTACTATGGGTTATCGTTAAGAGATAAACATATAGTATAGTGGAAGTTTTTGTAGATCTTTTTAAGATATACAATTCCGTAGTACATTATTTTGTCCTATTTGGTAAGGTTAAGCCAGCGTTTGCAATGTAAGCGCACAAAAACATGTTTTGTATAACAAATCTTTGAAATTCTCGTATACTAAAATATTATACATATAAACCTTACTCTTGAATCACTCTCTATTGGCGAAGGCATTAAAATTCGTTGCTTGGTTAAAAAGATCTAAGCGTAAAACACAAAAAAGCGACTTTATTTCATACTATGTAAAGATACAAAAGAAGTTTCTAGAAACAATGTAATATTATGGGTACGTTGAAGTAAAGAATTAGGTAAACAAAAAAATATTTGTGGGAATATAAATTTTCATAAATTATACCGGCTTTGGCATTTTGGAAATTCTAAAACATAAAATATTATTACTCTGTTTTTCTCGATTGTAATTCTGGGATGTTTATAATTCCATCTTAATTTTCACTTTCCATTAGGATATCAGCGCCGCCTCTTTACTAAGAAGTGGTGAGCTAAGTACCCTTTCTGTCTTCTGTAATACGCCTCTTTGGCTGCTAGCCCCTTTGGGAGGGAGCATGTTTGAGGACGTTTGGGCATCATCCTCTCTCGGGAGTTCTCTCTTTCTACTCTCGAGATCGTGGAGTTCAAGCTCCATGTCCACAACTTCTCGAGAGTCTTATTTGGAACATACATTGAAACACCCAGAGCAAATTTAACATTAAATGTTCAAACACACAAATGGTTGACTTGAGCGGGAATCGAAGCTTTGACCTTTAACAAACCACTACGCCATCTGGCCGTCAAATGCTAAAATGTAATTTTTCGCATGTTTAATTTATTTATATAAATAGTAAGGTATGTTTCATAGTTCAGATGAGTACAAAATAAATACATTTCCCATCTTCTTTTTTTCCCTAGTTAACATCGCTTTTGTACTATTCCTTCAAAGATTTTTATCTCAAGGCGTAAAATACTTTAAATCACAGTCTTAGATTCTAAGAGAGCTTTACACCATTGTCCATTATTGATCTCAGTACCAACGCATTTTCACCTGAAATTATAACTATTGCCAACCAACGACGTATTAAGCTGACGATTAAATCGCAAACGACCTCCATCAAGACTCAAGTAAACGTTTGAATACGCTGGCGTAGAACTCTTCATTACCCATTTCAACTTCCCAATGGAGTTCATAAGGGATTAATCAACGGATATCAAAGAAAACAATGAGCTTGATAATTGAAATCGAGACACGTCCAGAACGTTTTTTAGAAGATCTCTTGGCCTTTATAACGTGATTTGTGCCATTCATAGATTCAGAATTTTGATATCATTGACTCACCACATAATCTGTTTAATATGACGGTATTTCATTAAGTTTAGACGTAAAATATGGCTTAACATCTGACATTTTATCTACCATCTGACAGCTAACTTTACTCCTGCATTCATCATCATCATCATCATTAACAGTAAACTACTAGATATGTCTAGGCCTCTCCTTAGAAATAAGGTTTTGGCCTACTATACCACGCTGGCATGACGGGTTGGTATAGGGTTTGTATCAAGTTTCCCTTCCCTTTTCAGTGCTGTCATTTTGCGTAGTTTACTCCCTTAGTCGGCTCTTATGACACGGGATAAATAGAGGTGGTGACACTCCGTATTCTAAATCCGCCATGACACGGATACGTGTGTTTGTTAGTTAAATCAAATAGTTCTCGCTTTTATGACTTGCACTTACCACAGATTGCATTAAAAGTGAGACGAAAGAATCTGTTAGATCAAAAAATTTGTGGGTGGAACATACTCAAATATCGCTTCTGGATATTGGCAGAATCTTGCAGAAAATGATATTAACATTAAAAAGAAATTGTATTTTATACTAAACATTGACCCTATTTTGAAAAAATCAAAACATATTTTTAAAAATAATTGGAATGGATAAAATGTTTCTAATAAATACATTAAAATTATGTCAGTTTTCTCATTGTATATCATATGGAGTTTAATTTATAAGGTTATTACTTCATATTCAATATAATTTATAATACTTATCTACTATACCGTAAATACTTCCAAAATAAATAAGTTCAACGTGGAAGAATGAAAAAAACGTTCTCCCACAAATTATAGTGCATTAAAGAACTTAACGAAATATCAAAATAAGTGGAATAGATATAACAATTGGAAAGAAATTACCAAGAACTCTTAAAAGGAAACAATATCGAGAAAACTTAGTCCTGTATTGATTATAGAGGACGTTTAGAGTACGTAGGAACTTACAAATACTTCTTCTTGAATACTTTGTCTACTAGGTAAATTATATACGAGCTGGTGCCCGCATCTTCGTACGCGGGGAATATGAAAAGCGCTGCCTTAGTGAGTTCGACACCCGGACCAGGCAAAATTTTATAGGGTCTTTCTGAGAGAAAAAAATAGCCTAAGTTACTCCTTATATAGACAGCTTGGTAGTAAAATATTATCAAAATCAACGGACAGACAGACAGCCAAAAAATATTTAAACTGGTTTTTAGGCATAGGTATCGTGCAAATAACCGTGTAAGCATGAAAAAATCCTATTATTTTGATTTTACAAATAGACACTTCAATTTTATTTATTTGTATAGATTAACACTACAGTAAACTAACTTAAACCAACGTCACGTAAACGAAACTAGATGGCTCTTTAGCTAATAAAAGTGCTTGGAAAAATGTTTGTCCAGCTGCAAACCACACTGCAAAAAAAGAACAGAAGCTTGACTTGAGTTTGCATTTGTGTTAGAATAGAAATGGTCTTCAATGGTTATTACATATATATATATCTATATATATAAAAGAAAGTCGTGTTAGTTACACTATTTATAACTCAAGAACGGCTTTACAGATATGGCTGAAAATTGGTGGGGAGGTAGCTTAGAGCCAGGAGACGGACATAGGATACTATTTATTCCGTTCGGCAGTGTTTTTTTTTTTTTGTTTTTTTACGAACTTTGCTTTACTCGGAGATGCCACGTTATTATACTTGGAATGCTTCATCGAAGAATTTTCAAAGACGGAAGCAAGGCGATGCGGTTCCTGGGTATGCTCTTGGTCGTATGTATACAGTTAATCTAAAGAATGATGAATGTTTCTATTTGCGGTTGTTGCTGGTAAATGTGCGTGGGCCAACGTCATTTGAGACACTACGGACTGTTAATGGTGGAATATTCCCAACATATCGTGCTGCATGTGAAGAACTGAACTTATTAGAAAACGATACCCATTGGGATACGACAATCGCTGAAGCCATTATCTCTGCATCTCCAAGTCAGATACGCACATTATTCGCTATCATAATTTCGACATGCTTTCCATCAAACCCATGTAACCTGTGGCACAAATATAAGGATAATATGTCAGAAGATATTTTACATCAAATTCGTATCACTTCCAGAAATCACGATGTTGAGATGAATGCGGAGATACATAATCGTGCTTTACTCTTGATCGAAGATATGTGTTACCTCATGTGCGGTAGTTTATTAATCAGGTTAGGAATGCCAGCGCCCAATCGTGAAATGAATGACGCATTTAATCGAGAATTGGAACGGGAACGTGAATATGATCACCAGGAATTAGATTTAGTAGTTCAAACGAATGTACCCCTGTTGAATTCCCAACAAAAAGAAGTTTATGATACTTTAATGAAGGCAATCGATAATGGAAATGGTGGTTTATATTTCTTAGATGTCCCTGGTGGAACAGGTAAGACATTCCTCATGTCAGTAGTTTTAGCCACTGTTAGTGCGAGATCCAACATAGCGGTTGCAGTTGTTTCTTCTGAAATAGCAGCCACATTGTTAGAAGGATGCCGTACGGCTCATTCAGCATTAAAATTACCTTCAAATTACCTTCAATTAAATCTTCAAACTATTGAAGAACCAACGTGTAATATTACGAAAAATTCAGCAATTTCCAAAGTTTTATCGGCATCAAAAATCGTCATCTGGGACGAATGCACAATGGCGCATAAACGTGCATTAGAAGCACTTAACCGAACATTGAAAGATTTACGGAATGAATCGAGATGTTTAGGAGGAGCAATGATTTTACTGTTTGGCGATTTCCGCCAAACACTGCCAGTAATTCCAAGATCTACGGCTGCCGACGAAATAAACGCTTGCCTCAAATCGTCGAATCTATGGCGCTATGTGAATAAACTGCAGCTGACA